TGGAGGAGCAGCGGGAGGAATTCTAGGAGAAAAAGGCAGGCAGGCAGGCTAGCAGACAGGAAGCCAGTGAGTGGAAGATGGAAGAGTCAGGCTGTGGGAGGAGCAGGCCAGGGTGAGAGTGTCCGCTCAGTGCTCAAGGCTCCCAGCCTTCTGTTGTTTGTCTTTACAGCCACATCTTTAAAATGGGTCTGCTTTGCAGGGTCAGGGGGAAGACTGGAGAAAAGTTAAGCAAAGCCTTTACACATAGCAGGTCCTCAGTAAAGGAAAAGCTTTCACCGAGTCGGTGTACTTTCCTTCTTCTCTAAATGTGAAGGTGGCTGAGAGACTAAAATTGCTGAGAAAAGTTGGGAGCATTTTTTCTTTTTACAAATGAAAAATCTTCCAGTTTTTCCAAGTTCTGTTTGCTTTTGCCCGCAAGTCCTCTGGTGAATGGTCACCAAAGGCCCAAATGTCAACTAGATCCCCACGCACAAAGCGGCCAAGGGCCAAGGCAGCGAGGCACCAGACAGTGGCTCAGGGAGACAGCTACTTTCTGCAGGATCTACCCTTGATAACTCTGGTCACCCCAGAAAGTGACCTGGGTGGAGACTCAAGTCTCCTCACTGGTCTCTGCCTGCAAAGAATGTAAATCCCTTTAATAAACGGACCTATGGCACACAGCCCATGTGAGATTAAACCCCACCACTGTCCCACACAGCAAGGGACGTGGTCTGTGGACTCCAGGGAAGCCCTGCAAAGCTTGAAGCCGTTCCCCTAGGAGGACCATGGGATTGGAGAGGCGGGGAAGACGGAGAGGGAGAGGGACTCTCAGGGAGGGGTGAGGACAGGCGAAGGTGCTGATGCTGGAAACAAGACAGACAGGGGAGAGCAGCACTTCTGAACCAGAGCCCCATCTCATCCTTTACAATCAGGTCGCATATCCCAGAATTAGAGACGGCAGCGAGGGGAGGTGGGCACCTGGCCCCATTCATGCAGCCTCTAGAACCCAGGACCGAGGACTCCCGAGTCCCCTCACAGTGCATCATCACACCAGCCCTGGCTCACCTCAGGATGTGGGGCTCATTCCGCGCTTCCCACTGTGAACCCTGCAGAACTTGTGCTCCCTACATCTCATAATCACCACCTTTGTTCCCACTCCTCTTTAGAGCCTGGATTAGCGGCTTCCAGAGCAGTCACACTGCCGACTTCAGAAAGCACACCTGACTATCCCGGAAACAGCCTCTCCTTCAAGTCACAGATGTGCGTGTCGCTAAGCAAACCTTGGCAGGGTCTACCTGGTCCACGGGCTCCAGACACAGCGGGAGGGGCACAAATCTCCACATGGCAGGGAGCGCGGTGGAAGTGAGCACCACTCTAAGGTCCAGGGCTGTTCAAAGCTGCCGGCCAGATGTGCGCTGAGCCCAGTGGCTCCCACTCTGTTCTCTCTCCCCTGCCCCATGCTGCAGCCAGCCCACAGGGGGTGGGGGAGACAGAAAGAGAGAGAGAGAGAGAGAGAGAGAGAGAGAGAGAGAGAGAGAGAGAGAGAGAGA